CCTCTTGTTGGCCGCTGGCCTGGCCACTGACTCACGCCCAGCCTTTCCGCTCCAGGGCTGCACATCTTGGCCTTCCTGGGGAGGACGCGGCTGGGACGCCCGGTTTATCCCAGTGCAGGAAGCGCCTCTAAAATTAAACCTTGCCTGGAGTCAAGGCCGTGGCGCTGGGTGTGCACCACGCAGGCCGCTCGCTCTTTGCCAGCACCCATGGGACCCCCGACCGCTGCCCATCCCAAACGGGGGCCAGTTTTGGGTGCACCCCGCTCGCAAAGTGCTGGTGCAGGCAGCTCTGCCGACTCAGCAGCTGCGGGGCCGGCTTTCCGATGGGAAAACGGCACGGAGGAGCGGGGGAAAAAACAACACTGGCAGCCCGGGGATTGTCAGGGGGAATTTGCTGAGCTGCTGTCTCCAAACACAAGGGCTGCCCGCAGCACCCACCCGGCACAGCCCCTTCCCTACCTCCCCCCAGGATGCAGAGCCCCTTCCTGGGGATGGGGACACTGCGGGAACATCACCAGCTGAGGGGATGGCAAAGCACTGGGCCAACCCTTGGTGTGCCTCAGTTTCCCCTTGCATCCGAGGGGCTGGGGGTGACTCACGTGCATCTCGTTCATGTTCATGACAGTGGGAGAGGGGCGGAAGGTGCCCAGGCGGTGCCGGATCCCATCCTCCAGTGTCATGCCCCAAAACTGGCTGTAGTTTGCAGCTCTCCAGCTGTGTGGGAAGAGGGGGTGTGGGTCAGGGGCACCCCAAAAAGCACCAAGGGGCAAAGGATTCCTTCCCCGCCCTCCCAGTGCCCAGTTCTTACCCATAGTTACCCCTGTTGACGGCATCGATCAGGTCTCCATCCATCAGACACGCGTGGTCCTCACACTGCCACTGCCCACTGGGGCCACAGGTGCTGTGTTGGGGACAGCATTGGAGGGAACAGTCAGGGAGGAGGGACAGTGTCCCTGGGGGGACTGCAGGGTCCTCCCCCAAGCTGGGGACACACTGCCATGGTGGGCAGCCATGGGGCTGCTGCTGCTGCACTGGGGGCTGGGGTCCCATAGGGGTCTGGGGTCCCACAGGGGCTCAACACCTCAGAATAGGTTGAAGTGGGGCCAGAAGCCATCTCCATGGCCCTGGGGACTTCCCCCCCCAGTCCCTGCAGGCACCCAGAGGGCAGACAGAGCATGGGACAGAAAAATCAGCTGAAAAGCTGCCAGGCCTGCAGACACCAGAGCAGGGCTTGGACGCCAGCCCAGGGAGGGGATTCGGGGCTGGCTGTGCCCCCATCAACCCGACCCCGGGTTAACCAGGACCCCTGGGGCACCCATGGGGCAGGGAGCGATTGTGGGTGGTTGGGGGGGGGTGTTCGGTGTCCGGGTTCCCCCAGGGGATCCCTGGGCTGTGTGTCCCCCCCCACACGGCGAGCAATGCTTGGCACGCGCCCTCCTGCCCGTTCCCGGCACGCTCTGCCCTTTTAAGGAGCCGCGCGAGGCCGGATTCGTGTCCCGCCAAACCGGCCCCAGATCCCGATAGTGGCACCTGCACCCCTGCGTCTCACCCCGTCCC